TTGTCCATTTGGACTCACCAAAGCCTTGTCCATTGCACTCAGGTAAAACTGTTTGAATTTGTTTTCTCGCTGTAAAGGCTTGTGACTTCTTCTCAACAGATTCTCACTGGTCTTAATGAACTCTAAGAAGACATGAAGTGCAGCCAGAAACACTTGAATGCTCTGATGCACAAAACCAAACATAATTTTTTGGTTCAGTACGCTCCCTTTTTTGAAGCTCTCTGTAAACACTCCTTTGTAGGCCGATGCAGTGTCTATGTCTATGTCATACTCCTTTAGGTCCTCTTCATAGAAGATCAGGTTTCCCCTCTCCAGCTGCTCAAAAGCTAATTTTCCAAAAGCAATTAAGATCTTCTCGCTCTCTGAATTCCAGATGAGCTCAGTCAACATTTTGTTGTGATACTTGGCATTGTCACGATTGATCTGTACGACCAGGAAGTGAATATACAACTGAGTTAGGGTCTTGGGTGGCTCTGTTTTCCCTTTATCTTTCATGACCTCATCCAGAACTGTAGCAGTGATCCAACAGAAAACAGGGATGCGACACATTACAGGTGCTGGTCATAAAATTAGAATATCATGAAAAAGTAGATTGATTTCAGTAATTCCATTTAAAAAGTGAAACTTGTATATTATATTCATACATTACATACAAACTCATATATTTCAGATGTTTATTTTGTTTAATTTTGATGATTACAAATGACAACAAATGAAAATCTCAAATTCATCATATCAGAAAATTAGAATATTACTGAAGACCAATAAAAACAAAGGATTTATAGAAATGTTGGCCAACTGAAAAGTATGAACATGAAAAGTATGAGCATGTACAGCACTCAGTATTTAGTTGGGCCTCCTTTGGCCTGTATTACTGCAGCAATGCGGCGTGGCATGGAGTCGATCAGTCTGTGGCACTGCTCAGGTGTTATGATAGCCCAGGTTGCTCTAATAGTGGCTTTTAGCTCTTCTGAATTGTTGGGTCTGGTGTCTTGCATCTTCTTCTTCACAATACCCCATAGATTTTCTATGGGGTTAAGGTCAGGAGAGTTTGCTGGCCAATTAAGAACAGGGATACCATGGTCCTTCAACCAGGTACTGGTAGCTTTGGCACTGTGTGCAGGTGCCAAGTCCTGTTGGAAAATGAAATCTGCATCTCCAAAAAGTTGGTCAGCTGCAGGAAGCATGAAGTGCTCTAAAACTTCCTGGTATGTGGCTGCGTTGACCCTGGACCTCAGAAAACACAATGGACCAACACCAGCAGATGACATGGCACCCCAAACCATCACTGACTGTGGAAACTTTACACTGGACTTCAAGCAACGTGGATGAAGTGCCTCTCTTCTTTTGCTCCAGACTCTGGGACCTTGATTTCCAAAGGAAATGCAAAATTTACTTTCATCAGAGAACATGACTTTGGACCACTCACCAGCAGTCCAGTCCTGTTTCTCTTTAGCCCAGGCAAGACGCTTCTGACGCTGTCTGTGGTTCAAGAGTGGCTTGACACAAGGAATGCGACAGCAGAAACCCATGTCTTTCATACGTCTGTGTGTGGTGGTTCTTGAAGCACTCACTCCAGCTGCAGTCCACTCTTTGTGAATCTCCCCCACATTTTTGAATGGGTTTTGTTTCACAATCCTCTCCAGGGTGCGGTTATCTCTCTTGCTTGTACACTTTTTTCGACCACATCTTTTCCTTCCCTTCGCCTCTCTATTAATGTGCTTGGACACTGAGCTCTGTGAACAGCCAGCCTCTTTAGCGATGACCTTTTGTGTCTTGCCCTCCTTGTGCAAGGTGTCGATGGTCGTCTTTTGGACAACTGTCAAGTCAGCAGTCTTCCCCATGATTGTGTAGCCTATAGAACTAGACTGAAAGACCATTTAAAGGCTTTTGCAGGTGGTTTGAGTTAATTAGCTGATTAGAGTGTGGCACCAGGGGCCATCAATTTTGAACCTTTTCACAATATTCTAATTTTCTGATATGATGAATTTGAGATTTTCATTTGTTGTCATTTGTAATCATCAAAATTAAACAAAATAAACATCTGAAATATATGAGTTTGTATGTAATGTATGAATATAATATACAAGTTTCACTTTTTAAATGGAATTACTGAAATCAATCTACTTTTTCATGATATTCTAATTTTATGACCAGCACCTGTACTTGGAGACTTCTTGATGTCAAAATATGGGAGATGACGGTGTTGGCCCGTTCCCTGTCTGGGTATTTTTTTCTGAAGTATTCTTCCTTTTGTAAGTCTGTGAACCCTCTGACCTCTGTCATGCTGTCAACATACTGGAAAGGGATCTGATTGGCTGCTGCCGGTCGTGTGGTTATCCATATAAGAGCTGAGGGAAGAAGTTTTCCCCTGATTAGATTTGCCAGCACCACATGCATCGATGCAGTTTCACTTACATCTGTTAGAATCTGAGTGTTGCTGAAGGTGAGAGGTGGTTGAAGCTCATCCAGACCATCAAAAATAAACAGAACCTGGAATTTCTCAAAACAACTGATTTCTGCTTCCTTTGTTTCAGGGAAGAATTGATGAATAAGTCCAATTAAGCTGATGCTTTTAGATTTTAGCAAATTGAGCTCCCTGCATGTGTATGGGAAGATAAACTGTATGTTAGGGTTGGCTTTGCCTTCAGCCCAGTCCAAAGTGTACTTCTGTGTCAACACTGTCTTCCCAATGCCAGAAACACCCTTGGTCACCAGCGTTCTAATTTTCTCATCTCTCTCAGGTTTAAAAATGTCCTCACAGCTGATGGTGGTTTCAGAACCACCTGGTACCAAAGACGTTGACTCAATTTTTTGGACGTCATCTTCATCCTTGACTTCTTTCTTATCAGGTGCCACATAGAGCTGAGTGTAGATTTGACTTATACTTTTCGGGTTTCCTCTCTGGACCTTACCCTCGAAAAATTGCCGACTCTTTTTAGCCAAGTGGGACTTCAATTTAAACTGGTAAACAGCTGTTTGAGTTTCTAATAAAAAAAAAAAAACAATAGGTTATTGTGGATTGTAGGTAAATATATGAAATAAACGTAATGCTTTTTTTAGTTTATGATATATTTTTTTAATATTTAAAATTTGAAATCAAATCACTTTTGCATGTACTACATTAATAGAAAATCTAATAATCTCTTACTATTCAACAAAGATTCAGCGAGCCGCTCCTCATTCCTTCTCCTCAAGAAGTTGATTGTAATTTTCAGGAATGCATCTCTGTTGCTCTTTCTATGCATTTCCTCCTCAGTTGTTTCATCTTTAATCTCACTATACCTCCCTGAGCCTTCTGGGCTCAACATGTTCTTCCTTTTTCTAAGTTCACTTGTTACAAAATGCATGATGTCGTCCTCAAGCACCTGGAGAAACACAAATTTCATATGAAACCCTTTTTACAACAAGACATCGAAATTATCTTTTATATTTGGAAAACCAGTCACCATACATCTATCCTGCAGCAATAAATTAAACATGAAACTACAACTGATACTGCCACCCATGGGCTTCAGAAGATGAACACTAATAAATAACAGATCTGCTCTTTCAAATGACTCACACAAAAAGAAATTGGAAACGAGGTGTTTGTCCGTATAATTAAACTAATAATCTGACAGTAATTTCAAAAATGTGAACAAACAGGTTTTGAAAACTTGGGACTTTAGGCAGGTGAAGCAAAACAAGTCTTAAATATTATAAATATTCTAACAAAATGATGTCTGTATGGAAACATAAATACAATACAATCAAAGTTTGAATTGTCTTCTTTGTAGAAAATGTGTTCTAAACTTAATGCGAACTTCAACGAACCTACACCAAAAAGATAATAGAAAAAAAGTTGTATGCCATACCTTGAAAACTGAATCCAGTTGGCCTTTTTTCTCATGGCCACTAGACCTCCTCGATGGTCTTTTGTCAGAGAGAGGCCGCATCCGACTCAGACTGTGAGAGAAAAAAACACAAAGTAAAGCCACCTCTGATTATTGTCAACATTTTTACCACTCCAATTATATTCAAAGAAATATATATTTCTGTTGTCATGTCATTAGATCTTTATTTTGAAAGGATTTCCACCCTGCATAACTATTCAATTTAAAGCTACAGTGTGTAATAATTACAGGCATATAAAGTCAGAAATTTAATATATTATACATAACTATGTTATTTATCATCACCTATGAGCTCAGCCTTTTAACCATAATATTTGCGTTGCCTTAGAATTCGTTATTTATAATTACATAGGAGCGGGTCTCGCAGCCATGGAGGCTGACATCTTTGCGCTACGGCAAGCGCAGAGGCAACAAACTAGCGATTGCGAGATCTCCCATGACGCTCAAAAATAACTACGGCAAGTTGAGAGAGATTAACTGAGACGGTACTGTTCTGGGGGGAGAAGCGGTGGGGGGGAGATGTTCATGTTGCTGCGGTCTGTAGTCTGACCGCTAGATGTCGCTGAAAATTACACACTGTAGCTTTAACTAACTTTAGTAATTCATCGGATCAAAATAACAAACTTGACCACTTTCATTTTACTATTAACAACAAATGTCAGAAATGTAACAATGCTGTTTTTCAACATCTGCAAAAATGTTCATCAAAGCTTTGGTAACAATTATATTGTGCATATCAGGATTTGTAGTGTTGTAAGAGTTTATACCCATTCATTTATCATTAACATTTTTAAACCTCAATAAAGTTCAAGTTTTGTTGTTCAAATTCTGTTGGTCTTATTGCTTTACTGCAGTGAACCTTTTTTCTGTGTTTTTCTTTTTTTATGTTCTTTATATGTACAGCACTTTGAATTGTCCTGTTACTTAGATGTGTGACAAATAAATCTGTTTTTCCTTACAGGAGTTCACTGTCTCGAAGTTTTTCTGCTGCTTAAACAAATTAAAGATTTATGTCTAAGATTTTTATATTCCAAAAACATATGGGATCTGGGGTATCAACACACAGCATTAACATAACAGGATTGCATAGAGACATACATTTCATGAACAGAAGGGCATTTTTCCTCGATTTCATCTGGTTCATCTTCTGATTGTTCTGTAGTCATGGACACCGACAGTGGTTGAGATGGTTCTAGTCTCTTCTTATCCATTTGGCTTTAAAACATATAGACATACATATACTTAATTAACAATTTGATCTGAAAATGTTATAACTTATTATTCGCTATCATAGAAAATGATTGTCTCACAATTTATTTTCAGAGGGTCCTCCATCCTTAAAATCCAATGGCTGATATTTGGAGAGTCTTGTGGACAAACATCTTGGTAGATGAGAATCTGGCCTTTCCTGCTTCATTTCGCTTCAAGACAGAGTGTACATCAAAGGTAGCTTTAAAGTTTTAGTTTTGATTTGATCTCATTTAAAAAAATATATTTAAAATGTTAGAAACATTTATAGTTTTACATTTTATCATCATCTGAGAAGCGATAAAATGATTCTTGTCTCTGTTGGTCCATTCTGCTTTAACGACACATAACTTAACATTAGGCACTTGTAAAGTTTTCTTAACAGACAGTGAGAATTGTCACAGCTTACATTTCAATTTGGTGTGAGATGCTGTTGAATTCAAGTGTTTCACTTTTAGACTCTTTAGACTTTAGACTTTATGGATACACAGCTTGAAGCAGGTGACTCTGGTCTTTCCTGTTTCATTGGGTAGAAGGAAGGAAGGAAGGAAGGAAGGAAGGAAGGAAGGAAGGAAGGAAGGAAATTAGGAAGGAAGGAAGGAAGGAAGGAAGGAAATTAGGAAGGAAGGAAGGAAGGAAGGAAGGAAGGAAGGAAGGAAGGAAGGAAGGAAGGAAGGAAGGAAGGAAGGAAGGAAGGAAGGAAGGAAGGAAGGAAGGAAGGAAGGAAGGAAGGAAGGAAGGAAGGAGTTGTTTATATTTATCCTTTTCTTGTTGACATAAAAAACTAGGATATTAAGCAGTTAGATATTTAAAAATATATATATATATTTACCCAATACTAATTGCACAATTCAAAATTGACTATATAAATTACCAGTCAACTACTTGATTTAATTTAGTCTCAGGTATTTTAAGAGGGTCATCTTGTGTTGAATTCAATTGGTTCAAATTTTGGTCTTGGTGGGGTCTCTGGTTTCTGCTGCTTCATTTGGCTTCTGGACAAATTGTACCTCAAATTTAACTTTAATATGTATACTTTTGATTTAATCTAATTTCAAAAATATAATAAAAATGTTTGAAGGACCGCAAGTAAAATCTTACATTTTACTGTCAGACTGGAGATTATACAATAATAAAATGATTTTATGCTGGTCCATTTGGCTTTAAAAGGATATAATTTAACATTATTCACATGTTACATTTTGATAAAAAACAGTGACTTCTACTATGACTTACATTTTACTTTCAGATGAGATGCTTTTAAAATCAACTGGTTGACTTTCAGACAGCTTAGTCATCATCAACATACAGCTTCAAGCAAGGGACTCCGGTCTTTTCAGTACAATTAGGCTTCAGAATTAATAAATAGACAGACAGACAGACAGACAGACGGACAGACGGACAGACGGACAGACGGACAGACAGATGATGTTTTTTAAGATCTTGTTTTTTGTCAACAAGAGCAGTTTTCTGCTTACTAACTTAAGTAGAGTAGCCTAATATGAATAAATAGAGTAAACAAGCAAAATGAATAAGGTTTACATAAAACAGACATCCTACCTGACAACATCTAATCCAAGTAAGAATTATAAAAGAAGGTATAAAGCACCATCCTTTCCCAGCAGAGTCAGCGTACATCTGACTTGTTTTGTCATTCTGGTTAAACCAGTAAGTCACATGCATCTGATTGTAGGAAAAATGTCAACTCACGTTGAACACTGCCACTTATTGTCCTGGAGAATAGAGCAAGCAATTTTAATTTATTATTCTTCAACATGGTACTTAAGCATTTTGTTAGTTTTTCCTAGCCTCTTGTGATCAAATACAACTTGAATAAATGCTGTTTTAATGTGGTTAATCAGGTCTGCCTTTTAGTATTCATTATCTGTTGCTCTGCTGTGGATTGTCAGCCACATATTAACTTCTTCTTAGAAAATTAATCTCTACAAACTTACTTTACTCACTTTTTTTTATCAGTGATTTTACAATAGACATTCATATGAAAAGGTTGTTGATCCCATGTCCACATGATGGTTGGTATATAAGTGTTGAGATCTGGAGATCTGCCACCTGTCTCCAGCAGAGAGCGCTGTGGGCTTCCTGAGCTGGAGTCCTCACCACACCTGAGGATCATCAGCTCATCAGAAGACCACCCTTCATAAGCAGCAGTCAGACCTTCCTTGGACGCCGCAGTGTTGACCAAGTTTGGTTAGCGAACCTGAGCCTCTAAGAATTTAGGAAGTCTTGTAGACTCTAGAGAGAAACAAGCTTTTCTAATCTGCCTCTACTGTATCTTCTTTGATCACAGGAAAACCCACCGACATCTGAAGCTCTAGATGAGCTTAATCTGAGAACCTGCGTGCCTCCCAAGTAAGCCAAACCTGAAGATCTCAATCTGGATTCCTTCATCAGCTCTCAGAGGAAGAGCTTGGAAACATACTCAAGTCTGAAAACTCTCCAGCTCGAAGCTAGACGCTGCTGCTGCTTAACTCTCTCCCTCTTTAACTGTCTCTGGACCCAACCAGTTCCCCCTCTCATAGGATCTGTCAGAACCTCTTCAGGTACATTAAAAGATTCAACTCTCTCATCATACAATCAAACTGCAAAGCTAATCAAACTCATCTCTCCAGAAAGGAGTTTAAAACCAGTCCCGGACCAGCACCTGAACCAGTCATTACATTCTCTGTGTGTGTTTCTCAATAAACTTTGTTCAAACTTTTACTCAGTCTTCAGTAGTGTTCTGCGTATGGGTCAAGTCCTTAGCCCATCATGACAGAACACTGCGGCCAAACACAAAACACAGCAGAGCACCTCCGAAGGCGACTTGAGGAACAGGATGCCCAAATCCAAGGACAAGCTCAAACCCTTCGTGAGTTGAATGCTTATGTTGAACATCAGAATCAGACTTTACAAAGATACGCTAGCTATGTGAGAACCGCTAACACCACACCAGCAGTGCTTCCTGTTTCCGAACAACGTCCGTCTCAAAGGTCAGAGACGATGACGTCATTTCCTGAACTCCGTCCGAGTCTACCTGAAAGATTTTCAGCTATACAGTCTAAATGTAAGGGATTCTTGTTCCAGTGTCGTTTACTGTTTGAGAATTCACCTGCTAGTTTTCCTAATGACAAAAAGAAGATTTCTTTTATTCTCTCTCAACTCTCTGGCCGAGCTCTTGAATGGGCAGAGGCCAGGTTTTCATCTGAAAACAGTTTTTCATGCACCTTTTCTGAATTTTTGACTGAATTTTCTCAAGTTTTTAACCAGGATTCTGATCAAACCATTGATTCTCGAGCTTTGCTTAGTCTTAAGCAAGGTAATCTGACAGTGGCAGAGTTCTCCATCGACTTCCGGGTTAAAGCCGCCGCTTCCGGTTGGAACGAAGGCGCACTTAAAAGTGCTTTTTTCCAGGTTCTTAACGATAACATCAAGGATGAACTAGCCACAATTGACGAGCCAACTAGTTTGGAAAATCTTATTCGGTTAACCATAAGATTGGATAACAGACTCCGAATTAGAAACAATTCTAGGCTAAGGAACCTAGGAATGTCTGCTTCCGCTCCTACAACTAATCACACTCATGTTTCTGTTAGATCCCCAGAGTCCAGTTCCAGACCAAGGATTAAGAATCAGTCACCCCCAGCTTCTGCTCAAATCACTCAATTTTCCTCCTCAGCTGCAGAAGGAGCGGAGTTTGAACCCATGCAGATTGGGCATACAAGACTGTCACCTGAAGAGAGACAACTGAGATTCAAGGGGAATCTTTGTCTGTACTGTGGTGAGCCTGGACACTTTATTGCTTCCTGCCCGGCTAAATCAAAAGCCAGGGTCCGTCAGAGGATGTGAGGAGTCTGACGGACCATCTTAAGACTGATAAATCTCCTTATTTACTGTTACCTGCAACCCTGTTTGTTTCCAACCAGACTCTAACATTATCAGCCTTCATTGATTCTGGGTGTGAGAAGAACCTCATAGATTCGAATCTGGTCCAGCAACTGAGGATTGAAACTGTTCCTTTGGAAAGACCCCTCAGAGTTGCTGCTATTGATGGAAAAAGATTACACCAAGTCACTCATCAGACCCAGCCATTAGAACTTCTCATCTCTGGAAACCATTGTGAGACTCTAACTTTTTTTGTTTTTCCTTCAGCGTGTTCCTCCCTGGTGCTCGGATTTGAGTGGTTGGAACGTCACAATCCCCACATTAACTGGGTTGAACGCCATATTGAGTCTTGGTCCACTTCCTGTCACAAGTCATTACTTCGTTCTGCAGCTCCTGCTATTCAGTCCCCTAGAGGTATGGGGGAGATGGACTCTCCTGACCTTTCTTCTGTTCCTTCCGAGTATCATGATCTGGCACCAGTTGTCAGTAAGGTCAGTGCGACGTCTCTTCCACCCCACAGACCATATGACTGTGCCATAGGTTTATTACCAGGAGCTCCTCTTCCCAGCAGTAGATTATTTAACATCTCCAAGCCTGAACGTGAAACGATGGAGAAATACATAAATGAGTCTCTAGCTGCTGGTATTATCAGACCATCTTCATCTCCTCTCGGTGCTGGTTTCTTTTTCGTGGGAAAGAAAGACGGTTCCCTTCAACCCTGTATTGACTACAGGGGTCTGAATCAGATAACCGTCAAAAATAAATACCCACTTCCACTATTGGCATCAGCCTTAGAACCAGTTCAAGGAGCTACGGTCTTCACCAAGCTTGATTTAAGAAACGCCTATCATCTCCTTAGGATAAGAGAAGGAGATGAATGGAAGACAGCCTTTAAGACCCCCATTGGCCAGTTTGAGTATTTGGTCATGCCTTTTGGTCTTACAAACACTCCTGCCTTTTTCCAAGCCCTAGTCAACGACGTCCTCAGAGATTTTCTAAAAGTTTTTGTTTTCGTTTACATTGATGACATTCTGATCTATTCCAGGAACCTCTCAGATCACAAGAAACACGTCCGCCTGGTTCTTCAGAGGCTGCTCGAAAACAAGCTCTTCGTTAAGGCTGAGAAATGTGAATTTCACCAACCATCTGTTACATTTCTTGGGTTTGTGCTTGAAGACGGGCAGGTGAAGCCATCTGAAGAAAAAATAAAGGCTGTTCTGGATTGGCCTACTCCAGAGAACCGTAAGCAACTTCAAAGGTTCCTGGGGTTTGCTAATTTCTATAGACGATTCATTAGAAATTATAGCCAAACTGCTCTACCTCTCACAGCCCTGACTTCGGTAAAGAAGACTCTCCTATGGACACCTGAGGCGGACACAGCCTTTAAGAAACTTAAGACTCTTTTTTCCAGTGCACCCATCCTGGTCCAGCCTGATCCTTCTAAGCAGTTCATTCTAGAGGTGGATGCATCTGACTCCGGTGTTGGAGCATTTCTTTCTCAACAATCTGATTCTGATCAAAAGACTCACCCATGTGCCTTTTTTTCACGTAGGCTCTCCCCGGCTGAGCAAAATTATGATGTCGGAGACAGAGAACTCCTGGCCATTAAACTCACTTTGGAGGAATGGA